AGCTGTGTGGACTCCAGGCAGCTTCCTCAGCTGAGCTTAGTGCCTATGAGGACTACAGGGGACAGTGGTGAGGTTTGTAGGTGTCCAAAGTTGATGTGAGTTGCTGGGATCCCCTTGTATACCTCTTTGCTGAAGGGGGAAGCTGGTTCTCAGCTGACCCCAACTGGGAGATGGAATGGTAGAGGCCTGGCATTTCCTTCCATTCTCGATGTGGTCATCCTGAGATTCGGCTACTCCTCTGGTGCACTCCAGCACTCTGTTATTTTCATTAAAATGTTATTGTTGGCCAGGCGTGATGGCTCATGCCTGTAATCCCAGTACTTTGAGGCTGAGGTAGGTGGATCACCTGAGGTCAGGAGTTTGAGATCAGCCTGGCCAACATGGTGAAACCCCATCATGAACCTGGGAGGCAGAGGTTGCAGTGATCCAAGATCACCCCATTGCACTCCAGCCTGGGCAACGGAGCAAGACTCTGTTTCAAAAAAAAAAAAAAAAGTCATTGTTTATTTGTTGTTCTGGCTGTCTCTGTAGGAGGAATGAGCACTAGGGGTCATCTTGCTAATGCCACTTTCCATGTGGTCATCTCATAATGTCTAAAAACTGGCTTGCCCCAGTGAACCCTGGTGAGCTTCATCTTTTTACCTCAACTAGCTCATTAAAACATGTTTCTAAGCAGAGACAACATTCCCCTCACTACCCTCTACACCAAACAAATGGATTTTAAATTTAATTTAAAAATGTGACCATATGAAGCTGGGCATGTTGGTACACACCTATAGTCCCAGCTATTCAGGAGGCCGAGGTGGGAAGATTGCTTCAGGCCAGGAGTTTGAGTCCATCCTGGGCAACATAGCCAGAGCCTCATCTCAAAAAAAAGTGTGATGCATGAAAATTGTTAAAATGTTTTTAAAAAAGAATAGTGAAGCTGTGGTGGCTTGAACTTATAGTCCCCGTACTTTGGGAGGCCAAAGCAGGAGAATCACTGGGGCCCAAGAGTTTGAGATCAGCCTGGGCAACATACCATGACTCTGTCTCTACAAAAATACCGGGGATGCTGAGGTGGGAGGATTGCTTGTGCCCCGGGGGTCAAGGATGCAGTGAGCCTCATGCCACCTGGGTGACAGAGTGAGACCCTGTCTCAAAAAAGAAAAAATAGTGAAGGGGACACTTACCTTAACAACTTTCAAAATATGCCGTAAAGCTGCTGTAATTACACATTGTGGTACACATAAAGGATATAAACAAATCATTAAGGCAAAACAGAGAGTGACAAAACTTGGCGTAGGCAACTTTCCTTGGGGTCACTTATCTTTGGCAGAGAGAGAAAACACTGCCTCAGTTCCTATCAACTGATTTACAACTGTTTTGGAATGATGCCTAATTTGAGAGTGCACATATTCATTTCTTTTTTTTTTTTTTTGAGATGGAGTCTCGCTGTGTTGCCAGGCTGGAGTGCAGTGACACGATCTCGGCTCGCTGCAACCTCTGCCTCCTGGGTTCAAGTGATTCTTCTGCCTCAGCCTCCTGAGTAGCTGGGACTATAGGCATGTGCCACCACACCTGGCTAATATTTTTTTTTTTTTTTTTTGGTATTTTTTAGTAGAGACAGGGTTTCACTGTGTTACTCAGGATGATGAAACCCTGTCTGTACAAAAAAATACAAAAATTAGCTGGGCATAGTGGCGTGTGCCTATGGTCTCGGCTACTTGGGAGGCTGAGGTGGCAGGATCACTTAAGGCTGGAAGGACAAGGTTGCAGTGAGCCATGACCATGCCACTGCACTCCAGCCTGGGCAAGAGGGGACACTGTCTAAAATTTAAAAAAAATTTAAAAAGATATTAAAGTAGTACAGTGAGTTTGGAAAGAGGGTAGGATCAGTAAGAAGTAGAACCAAAAAGGTAGCTTGGACTCAAATCAAGCTGGACTTAGGATGGTTTAATAGAACTAGAGCCTGCCTTTTTTTTTTTTTTTTTTGAGATGGCTGTTGCCAGGCTGGAGTGCAGTGATGCGATCTCAGCTCACTGCAACTTCCACCTCCCAGGTTCAAGGATTTTCCTGCCTCAGGCTCCCGTGTAGCTGGGACTATAGGCACCCCCCACCAGCCCAGCTAATTTTTGTATTTTTTAGTGGAGACAAGGGTTTCACCATGTTGGCCAAGATGGTCTCGATCTACTGACCTTGTGATCTACCTGCCTTGGCCTCCCAAAGTGCTGGGATTACAGGTGTGAGCTACTGCATCCGGCCTTTTTTTTTTTTTTTTTTAAGGCAAGGTCTTGCTCTGTCACCCTGAGTAGCTGGAATTACAGGCATCTGCTACCACACCCAGCTAATTTTTTGCATTTTTCGTAGAAATGGGATTTTACCATGTTCGCCAGGCTGGTCTTGAACTCCTGACCTCAAGTGATCCGCCCACCTCAGCTTTCCAAAGTACTGGGATTACAGGTGTGAGCCACCCCTCCCCGCCTAGAGCTTGCCTTTGAAGTCAGATAGACTTATGGCCTGGTGCTGCAATTCATCTACTGTCTGACTTTCAGCAATTTTCTCAAACTTCTTTTCTTCGTTTATAAAATGGAGATGAAAATGTTTATCTTACAAATTCTTCCGAAGATTCAATGAAATAATGCATGTAACAGACATTCTACATACTAGACACATATGAAGAATGGGAAAAGCGAGGGGTTAGAGGTAGGGAGATCAGCTTTTGAAGCTATGATAATAAAGTTGGCTATTGATGAAAATGAATTATAAGATATAATTAAGCTGTGCCAGGACCGGGCACAGTGGCTCATACCTGTAATCCCAACACTTTGGGAGGCCAAGTGGGCAGATCACGAGGTCAGGAGTTCGGGATCTGCCTGGCCAATATGGTGAAACCTAAAAAATACAAAAATTAGCCGTGTGTGGTGGTGAGCACCTGTAGTTCCAGCTATTCGGGAGGCTGAGGCAGGAGAATTGCTTGAACCTGAGGGGCAGAGATTGCAGTGAGCAGAGACTGCACCACTGCACTCCAGCCAGGGTGACAGAGCGAGATTCCATCTCAAAAAAGAAAAAAAAAAAAAAAAAAAGAAGGTAGTGCCTAGAAACGTTGGTCTAGCAGAGGACATAGTCAGTCTAGCAGAGGACATTCTTCCCAAGGAAGCCACTCCCAGCTGTTATCTTTTTTCAGGCTCTACATTCTTTAGTTTTGAATCATGTGACATATGGAACTTATCTTTTTTTTTTTTTTGAGATGGAGCCTCCCTCTGTCACCCACGCTGGAGTGCAGTGGTGTGATCTCTGCTCACTGAAACCCCCACCTCCTGGGTTTGAGTGATTCTCCTGCCTCAACCTTCCAAATAGCTGGGACTATAGGCGTGTGCCACCATGCCAAGCTAATTTTTATATTTTTAGTAGAGACGGGATTTCACCATGTTGGCCAGGCTGGTCTCAAACTCCTGACCTCAGGTGATCCAGCTGCCTTGGTCTCCCAAAGTGCTAGGATTACAGACGTGAGCCACTGCACCTGGTCAGAATTTCTTTCTTAATGAAAGGACTCACAACCAAGGCAAAATGAAATTTTTAGGTAAGGAGCTGTTTCTTTTCTGGTTTCCCTTTGAGCAAATTCTTTCCAGTTCTCACTGAACTCCCAAAGGCCCCCAGGAAGGGAAACTGGCAGCTCCAAATGACCCTTTCCTCTCCCCAGGAGGACATGACGAGGATGCTGCATGGTCCCCATGACTCCCACTCCTGTGCTAGTGGACATAGCTCCAGCCATAACCCCAAAGGCATTTTTATAAACAGCTATTCTCCCCATAAGTCCGTGCCATAGAAACACAAGGTTGTATTTTTGTTATGATAAAATGTGTGTCTAAAAAACTTCCAACAAATGTGATGACACCGGTACTACTGTATCTTGGAAATAACTGTGAAACACACACCTCTAACTATCCAATAAAACATGTCCTAAACCCAGTTTTTTCTTAGTCATAACAACAGATGAATATGTCACTGACCTGAATACCAGTGGTCTCACATTAGCAAGGGGAATGACGATTTGTTCATTTTCTCTTGAACTATACATTTAGTTGTCATCTTTGATTTAAATATGAAGTAGCTGCCTTCCTCTTCCTAAACCCATTCTCCAAAATTCAAATAAGCATTGGGGTTTCTTTGGATCCCTTCTCCCCTCTCTCATGGAAGTCTACACAGGGCACCCTTCTGTCCAGGACAAGTTAGATCTAATTCTGTGTAACTTCAGAAAGGCTACTGTGAACAGCTGAGATTTTTCTGGAAAGATTCTGTAATAATTCTGTAAGAATTCAAAAATAATTCTGTTTTTAGATAAGATTTTTATAATAAGCTACCTTTAGCCACTATTTTACTGTTGGCAGGGTACTGCTACTTGCTGTAAAGATTTGGGCATCCTGAACAGGGATAACACGCCACGTCCTACCTGCTCCAAATACCCACCCCTCCATCGCAATGGGATTGGTCCATCTGGAACTTGTGACACTCACCACGCCCTTCTGTCCTCTGGAGGTGCCCAGTTCTCCCTTCAAGAGGCCCGTCTGTCCGTGACATGCCATCAGGCTGAACACAGAGACTGACAAGAGAAGTGTGGCCTGGATCCTGGCTTTGCTAAGGCTCCATCAGTAACATCTCTGCCTCAGTTTTCCACTTGTCAAACACTTAATGACCATAATACCTATGGGTCTGTTGCTGTGGGGATTAAATGAGATAATGAATATCAAATGTTTGGAACAGCGCCTAGTACACAGTTGACCCCCAATAAATGCTAGCTGATATTATTATTGTTTAACACTACAGAGACATGCACACATAGAAATATGGTACATCAGATGTGAAACTAATGGCAGGGTTATTAAAGACAAAGAATTGGTGTTTTAAAATCTGAATTACACAGTTTGTATTCTAAAACACACACACACACAGACACACATACACACACACACACACACACACACACACACAGAAATCTGTACCAATTAAACACAATAAAGTTGAAAGGGGATATAAATTACAGTTTTTCTTTTTTTTTTTTTTAAACAGACAATAGTAAAATACTACAGTCAGCTCACTATACACACAAATCATGAACAGCAGCTTTTCATTAAGGTTTCCAATGTCTTACTCATTTACCAGCTCGAAGAACTTAAAGAAAAAAGGTACAGCAGGCTGTACGCATTCTCTCTGTCTTGCGCTCAGAACACATTTATAGCTGTACATCCAGACTGATTATACAGGCATCTACAAATAGGTACAGAAAGGACTTTTGTAAAAATTTCCATACACATAATCCTTCAATGTCCCCATTCATAGGAGGATTTTATAAATGAAGACACGACAGCCGGGTCACCTGTATTCGATCATCTCCTGCAAACATGGTAAAGCATGAACCACTGAACATCAGAGCTCAGTCCATCTCCTCAGCACTTTCCAAAATCAAGCAAAATAACAACAGCAAAATCACACCACAGTGAAACCTACCAATCCAAAACAAAACCACACACACAAAAACACACGAAAATCAACACCCCCCACCCCACCCACCCCACCACGACTCCTGGCTGTCCTTGTGTTTTCTTACAGTAATACTGCTCTCTTCATTCCACCTGCCCGGCTGGGCTGAGCCATGGTCCAGGCATCTGTGGAGTCAGGGCCCCAGTCACTGTCAATGGTTATAATACAATGTCAAGTCAGCAGGTGGTGGGGCAGGTGGAAGACCAAAGAATATAGCTGTGAGATTTCTCAGTGTGCTTATGAAACAGAGGACAGAGAACGGCAGCACGTGGCTTGGTAGCCAAGGGAATTATGGCACCAAACTCGCAGTCAAACATACATGTTCACACAAAAGAGTGGACAGCAAAAATGTCGTCTTATGTAAGTTCTTTGGTTATAAACAACAGCATTCTATAACCTTTTCTGCAAAGAGGGATTTGCAAGCTCATTCTTAGGCAATAAAACATTTTTCATCTGCTCATGTATAAGAGATCGCCCAAGTTGCTTTGTAACAAAGTCCAGTACCTTATAATTTTCTACAAATCACCTTTATCTGCATTTTAGTGTGTAGCCTTGTCTGTCTCCAGACATACTATAGATAGACATTTCATATACATAATATATATTATTTATAAAAAACAGATTAGAGCACTGACTCCAGATTCTACAGTAAGAACTGATTAAAATTGTACAAGAATAGTCTGTTGGAGTCTGTAGAGGTTTCTATACAGTGGAGGTGTGTAGTAAGTGCAAACAAAAATACTGTCACTTAGCTAATCCAGGATTTTCAGTTCTCTTGCTTTCTGGAAAAAGCAGAGGCTGTTGATTCACCCAAGTGACAAAGTGCTGCTTCTCCCACTGGGGAGGGGAAAGGAGGTGGCCCAGGAAGTGCCCGGCGTGGCTTCTCCAGCTTCTGGTCTGAGGTCCAGCTGGATGGCAGCATGTTTTAAAGATGGAGCTGGTGCTTGCCCAAGATGACCAGGTGAACAAAGATGCCAAGCTGTGGCCTGAGGAGGGGGTGCTTGCCGCTCCTACCTCGAGGTCGTGTCTCCCTGGAATGCAGAAGCTGGTGAGTTCATGCTTCTCATCCCTACCTGCTACCCCACCTACAGCACCCAATCTCAGCCCATTCCACACCCACTACAAGAAAGGAGCTCTTCCTAAAAGGATTCACAGGATTGGTTTTATTATGGAATCCAGTGTTGGAATTCATACTGTAGAAGCCCTGAGGTGATGTTTCTAGGAAAAGTAATGACAGCAACACCCAAAGTAAAAGTTAAAAAAAAAGAGGTTGGGTATGGTGGCTCACGCTTGTAATCCTAGCACTTTGGGAGGCCGAGGCAGATGGACTGCCTGAGCTCAGAAGTTTGAAACCAGCCTGGGGAACACGGTGAAAACCCTTCTCTACTAAAAATACAAAACATTAGTTCGAGCGTGGAGGCTTGTGCCTGTAATCCCAGCGACTCAGTATGCTGAGACAGGAGAATCGCTTGAACCGGGGAGGCGGAGGTTGCAATGAGCCGAGATCCCACCATTGCACTCCACCTGGGTGACAGAGTGAGACTCCATCTCAAAAAAGAAAACAAAAGTTACTTCTAGATGTGCATTCTAAGTCATTTCAGGGGTTTGAACAAAAGTCCAACTTAGAGTTCTCAGAAAAAATTTTAAACCGTCAAAACAAATTATTAAAACCAATGTAACAAAAACTTTTAAGTCTAAAATATTTTTAATTTTTGTAGAGACAAGGTCTTGCTATGTTGCCCAGGACGGTGTCAAACTCCTGGGCTTAAGTGATCCTCCTGCCCTGGCCTTCCAAAGTGCTGGGACTATAGGCATGAGCCACTATGCCCGGTATCCAAACACTCTTTTTTTTTT